TTTAAAATGCAATTGCTCACCATGGCTTGCAGCGTGGTGGTCCCCGAGTCCCCCCCACCTCCTCACCACCTCCTTCCTTTTCCCTGCGATCCACCCGAGTCCCCGCCACCTCCTCACCACCCTCCTTCCTCCTCCCTGCCGTATCCCAGCTCCGCCTTGCCCCGTTCTTGGGTGACGACGCCAAAAAAGTAGCTCAAGTCCACAGTTCGAAATCCGGGAGTGAACCTTGCTGCCTCATGAGGGTAGGTTTGCTCCATGTTCTTTTAAACCACCAGTACATGGCCCCAGGCAACTGGAGAACCTGTTTTGAGCCTCTCCGACAATTTAGGAGGCCGAGCGCCGTAGATAAAATGAATTAGCGGCAGGCAGCCTCCGAAAGGGGGCCGCGGCCGATAGCTGGCATGCACTGGTGCTTTAAATCACTAGTACCTCGGAGCCTGTTTTTTGCCAACCCTGATTTACAGTGCGCACCGAAATTGCTGAGCCTGTCGACCCTGATTTTACAGTGCGCACTGAATTTGCGGAGCCTGTCCCCCGTGGTACATCTTGGAGGTTTTTTTTTTTTTTTTTTTCGTTTTTGGAAACTAGTCACGTTTCGACTTGTGGTCTGTTGGCCTCCGGTACCGACCGACCAACGGACAGACGTTAAGGCGAGGCTTGACGGAACAGAAGACGGTCACCCTCGGGTCCTAATGCTACGTGGACCAACGGGCGTCTACCGCTTGACGAATGCAGGATCCGATCGTCCGGCTCAGGGTCCTCCCTGTCGCTCATATGCTACAGCACTGTGCATTGTCTGCACTAGGGTACACTCGGTTGCCTACCGCAGCGCTCAGACCGATTTAAAAAAATGAAAATAATTGATCGGTGCCCTTATTAGACGATACACGTTTGTGTCCAACAGGTAAGTCCAGATTCCTACAAACGAAACTATTCTATTTGATCAGTTCGCAAACAGAAAGCAGATAAGGAGAAACAGAAAGTTCTACCTATGCTGTCTGTCAGATGTGTTAATGGCTGTACATCTAACTAATCAAAATAAAAATAGAATCATTTGTATGGCTGTTTGCAGAGTGAAATTGTTCCCGAACTTATCTACCCCTCCCTCAGTTCTTCTTGATGTCACTTGACGTCAGCGTTCCTGAGCAATCCAGATAACGTGTGTTTCTAAAGGTGTGCACACGGCCCAACCCTGTGCCCCAAGTCAATGCTGAGCTGGCCAGCCCTGCACCGTGTTTACCCTCACGTGCAGCGAGCCTGACACCGACCGATTGGCTGATCAAGAGGCAGTTTAAGGACTTCCCCAGAGGTCCTCAGGAATTATTTAACGTCACAAACAGGACAATGATCACAGCCAACGGAAGGTAACCCGCCGGTATTTATTTATAGACATCCGGTTCGTTTCTTCTGTAGGGCTGGCCTGCCCCTCATTACCTCTCTAAAGCTCAGCTGGCAGACAAAGGACAAAACAGCAAAGCATGTGTGCTCTGCTCTCGGTGGGTTGGCATGGTGACCGTGACCCAGTGCTTCGTCCAGGGCGCTTCAGATGGCAACGCCCTCTCCTTCCAGATGCTCCACGTGAACAATGCTGACTCTCAAGGTTGAGCGCACTCGACTCCTCACATGAGGGGACTCTCAAGACAGAACACACATCCTCATGGTAAGAAGTGTCGAAGAGGGTAGATAACGTATCTCAAAATAGCTGCCCCCAACCACAGACATTCTCACCAGATAACGTGACGTCGATTGTGATGACCAATCATTGCCTTGGCACAACCAGCATTATACCGCTGTTCCACCTCAGCATCAACCGCGCATCAGATAGTTCTCATCACACTGCGAAAAAACCAATATCACCACTCAGCCTTCCTTGCGATACCCCTCTCCACCTGGGTCGCCTGCTTGCCTTTGCCCTCCCCACTGCGCACTACCCACGGTCGCTCACCCAGCTAACCGCGTGCAAGGCACCCCATAAGGAGAAGACAAGCGCCAGATTAGCGCAACGTACCACAGCTCCGATACCAAAATGCATGAGCGAATTCCAGAAACCAAGCAGCATCATACACATGAAAGCCGATAGTCTTGACCTCGAACAAAAAGCAGAATTGCAACTTTGAGTTCCACCAAGTAAGAGCACAGCAAAAGCTCACAAGTGACAATGTTGGAATAGTCTCATCATCATCAACAATGAACCAATGTCGAATCCCTATCTGGTGCTCAGCGCCCAGACTATGAATGGCAGATCCTATCTAGCCTATCTACAATGCCGCTGGTGACATCAACAGCTTCCCGAAGTACGAGCAGATCTCGGTCAATGCCGCTCGCCTCAAGCACCAGGTATGTCTTACGCTTCACTCACAACCTCGAACCCCCACACAGATGTCACGTGCACCCAAGGACCACCATGCGCCCCATCCAGCAACGCGCAGGACAGCTTGACTATGGATGCCTGCTTCTTCCCTGCTCGCCCGTGAGTGCGTAGGCACTCGCTCCAGCAGCTGGCACAGTAGCGCTTGCGCATAAGCAGCGAGTGCCCGGATGTCCAGCCAGCAGCCAGGCCCTTTCCCTTATGGAATGAGGCTGCCAGTCGTGGACTGCCTCGCTGGCCTGGGCCTCCCCACGGAAGCTTCCGGTAGGCCCCAAGTTGCTGAGCCCCTGTCCCAGGGAATCTTCCACAGGGGCTGGGGTGGTTACCCGTGTCCAACTGCCAGCGGCCTGTGTTCAGTTCATGCCCCGTGTCTGGCCCAGGGCCTGCCTCAGATACATTTGGAAAAAGGCAGGCAGGGCCTTGGCTCACTCAACCAACTGGCGCTGTGCAACTGCCTGAATTTCCCAGCTGCGTCAAAACCCAAAATAGGCCTCTCGTCACTTGTCAGGCCCGCCTTCACTTAGGGCGGCCTTTCTTGCTGAAACAGGGCCCAGTAGGGCTTACCGAGGCCTTGAGCCTCACACGGTTCCTATTTCCCCGGCAAGTCAAAATTGAATACAACATATAACACCCTCACGCTTCCTTCCTGGTGTACCAAATTTCTAGAGTGTCAAAATTTAGTGCTAACGCTGGGAACGAAAAAGATGCATGAAAGTGTCCTTCAGAGAAGTGTCTTTGGCAGAGCTGGCACAAGACACGGTGTTCCCTTTTGATGAGGAATTCAAGAATGGCTGCCAAACGGCTGTTCTGTTCCCAGAAAAACGGAAGAGAAGTGTGGCAGGGCATTTCTTTCCGAAGGGTAGGGGTGTTGGGATCGGATAGGGTACTTTTCATCAATCTCTGCCATTCAATTCCCCCTTGGAGACGATCAGCGTTGGCAGATAAATTCAAAGAAACGCATTCCAAGCAGTCCACACAATATTACATAAGTGTGCAGCCCTGCTGGTGGAAAGAGAGACTGACCTGATGCTCCCCAGAATAGAATGGAGGAGTGGGCCATAAGGTCATTAAAAAAAAAAAAAAAAACAGAGTGGTACTTGAAAGAAAGTTTAGAAACAAAGAAAGAAAGAGAGAGAAAAAAAGAGTTCAAAAAAGACTATCACCATTATACTAATTGATCATAGCAGTGGCGGATGTGTCGTGTCTGTGTGTCTGTGTCCGCATCTGGTCTCGGATTGCACATCCACTCGACATGAACTTGAGAAAGGAAAGTCAAGATATAGAGGGTTCTCCTTGCCCTTTTCCCCTCCGTTCCTCCTTGGAGGAGCACACACTTATCGCCATCCCCTCAACCTTCTATCCTTCCATTGACCCATCCCAGCCTCCCACCACCCCCCACTCCCTGCCATGACCCCTCCCTGCAAGGACCGGAAAAGCGTAATTTTTGTTGTCTGTGCCCTCATGTGTGGCTGAACATCTCCTGTACGCATGTCCACGGGATGTACGCGAATTGTACAGACGGTCGGTGTTGCCGATATGCTAGTAATATGCCTCATGTACATTTCTATATGTTAACTTTCTATACGTTAGACTAATTAACGAGACCAGCCTTCGATGGGGGATGTCTCTCCTCAATAGGGCTGCATGAGGTGGTAGACAATAAAAAAGGCAACCCTATTGTGATGTCATGGATAATTTTGATAACTGGGCAAACACTTTTATCAACAAGCAACTTGAAAATTCCCGGTAAGTTCAGTGACGAGTTGAACAACCTGGTTAAGAATAGATAGCAGTCTCTCTCTCTCTCTCTCTCTCTCTCTCTCTCTCTCTCTCTCTCTCTCTCTCTCACACACACACACACACACACACACACACACACACATTCTCCCCCTACATTCATCTGAAATATCTAATATCATATGTGCTCCAGTGCTTCATGTATAGAATATTATACTCTACATACTATCATTAGTATGACATTTATGGATTATGTTTTCCTTTTTTTTTTGCATCAGGACATTTCCAGAGTCCCGGTCACCAATCCGGACAACTGGGTCCCGATATGTCTGGGTGTCCGGCGGGTGTCCGGATATCTGGATGGCCGGCATTTCATCTGGATTTTTCCAGGGTCCTGGTCCTCGGATACCCTGGTGTATCCCAAACACATTTGGAAGGGGGTACAGATGATATGCCCCTCGGGTCCTCATCGCCAAACCGGCAGGATTGGCAGCCAAACTCAAGAGTGAGTTGTTTAAGGACGACTGCAGACTGATCTTTAAGAATATGGTGCTACGTGATGGTGGTGGCTAGCTTTTCGGTTGGATTTGGGTGACTGCTTTGATGATGATGATGATGATGATGATGATGATGATGGTGATAATGAGAACAAGAAGGGAGAATGGCTGACAGCGACGATTAGATTGCCAATAAAGGCAGACTGCAAGCTTGGTGTACAGAGGGAGTGGTGCTCTCTTCCTTTCCCTGTTGTTTATACTACTACTAGGTATCCCTGAAGAAATATTTCCAATGCCTTTTCGTTTTTCTCCAACGCTTTTCTCACACCTCGGCTACACGGTGATTTTCATGATGATGATTGGACGGTTCCGCTTCTTCATCCAAATTGTTGAACCAGCGACACGTTGGATAAACTTCTTCAGGTTGGGAAGACATTCTGTGAGCGCAGTTGGAAGAGCATTGACAAACAGCATCATGGAGTGAAAAACCTCGACAGGTGCGTTGATTGTTTTCCCAAGCACTCTTTAGGCTTTCTATCCTGTTCCTTCTCCCATGTCTCTCAATCCCTGTACATGTCCGTCCTTTTTCATTTCTTCTTTTTCTTGAATGAAAAGTTTTTTTAAACAAGAAAAAACATGGAGGCAAGAAAAGGGCATATAGCAGTTGACCTGCTTAGTCCGACAAGGTCCTTGGTTTTTACTTCTTTTTTCTTGTAAGGGGGTATCTCCTATGTAAAGATCTCGCCCAAATTTTGCACACCATCACACAGTGCTCCAGCCACACATGATAAAAGATGAACATGATATGACAACTCCAATGATTATTAGAAACCAAAGAATGAACAAACATTTCTCAAGCTGTATCCATGTGCAGCTATGGCTGCTGTCACCAACCCACAGGTATGCTCTCTCTCTCTCTCTCTCTCTCTCTCTGTGTCTCTCTCTCTCTCTCTCTGTCTGTCTGTCTCTCTCTCTCTCTCTCTCTCTGTCTCTCTCTCTCTCTCTCTCTCTCNTCTCTCTCTCTCTCTCTCTCTCTGTCTCTCTCTCTCTCTCTCTCTCTCTCTCTCTCTCTCTCTCTCTCTCTCTCTCTCTCTTTCTACCATTACTCCTAGCATGCCTAGCACCGTCTTCTGGCCACAGTTGTCTGGCGCTTCTGGTACATACTGGAATTTCCTTTGATCGAGCTGCTATTTTGAAACTTGGACTGTTTCTAACTACCTAGCAGAAACTTGTGTTTGGACGGACCCTACAGGCCCAACGGCTACTACTGTATGACAGGGCTTACCAGTTGGACTATGATACATGGGACCAGGAACTTAAATTCTGGGACCAGGCCTTGGCTGCGAATTACCCTAAACGCCCTGTCATTATATCTGTGTGTGGCCAGAAAGTTGCACTCGATACAGCTATAATTACTCGGTCGTTTGTTCGGGGGAACAAGGTAGCCTTGAAGGCAAACTTGTGGGCCGAGTCCTTAAATAGCGCGATGACATTACCTTAGGCACAGTTTGTTGTTGTGCCTCATCAGGCTATTTGGCTGTTCAGGTTTTAGATAATCATTTTTGCAGCCACTCCCCCTTCCCTTCCCCCCCGCTTCTGCCCCCGCGTGCTTCTGTGCCCTGCTCAGCAGTTGTTGACATAGAAAACATTACCTTAGGCAGAGTTTGTTGTTGTTTTTATCGATTAAGCACCCTAGGAATTAGCAATATGTATTGAATCTCATGGTATCATTTTTTGAATGATTTTCCAGATTGCGGGCTTCCCCCACGCCCCCTCCCCCCCCTCAAAAGGGCGACAGCCTTGAAATATCATCGTTGAACTGACGGGCCCCAGGTAATTCCGGACGATTTTTTCTGTACATCTGATTGCTCCCTCTGCATTCGAACTTGGGTCTTTATTTCAGCAGCTAATGGGTGTACAACTGAGCTATGTCCATTGGTAGATTGTGGAATTTTCTATGGTGATAACCGGTTATCTTTCTACTTTCCAAATTCCCAACAAGATCTGTTTGAGGTCCCGAATCGTCCTTGATTCTCTTAGGAGGCTGTCGTGTTGTAGACCCTTCTGCTCACTACTGTCTTCCCCCGAAAATAACACTCCCTCGTCATGACTGAATTTGACTGAAGAGAGCTTGTATACATTCATTATCAGGATCGTTATGTTTGGGAGAAGATGGCAGTTGCTTTCCGTCGATCGGAACAAGCTGCTTTGTAATATGGTGGTTGTGTCTTGATTAGTGTTCTTGGGGCTCAGATGTTTGCCTCCTTTGTATATGATGGTGTGTCTGTTTTGTAGTGTTGTCTTCTTTTTTTGTCTTAAACCGCTGGTAACGGGACCCTTTCACTGAAACGTGCAGCCGTATACATGGTGGCCGTTATTTCGATGTACCAACCTGCCTGCAGCCAGTTCGATACGACGATACGTACTCGGTGGGAAATTTTCTTCAGGAGAAAATCGCCGGTATTGACTCCCTATTGTTGCGGTCTATTGGGTGGATTAGAAAGGGAGAAGCGAGGAGAAAACTGTTCCAGATGACTCTTTTTTTTTATGTCACTGTATTCAGTGGGTTTAGAGGGATGCTCCTGAAGAATATGAAACACGATTCGCATCATTCGTAAGGAAGTGTTTGGTATATAGAACTTCAGATATCGATGCCATTGCAAACTTGCGACTGATGGCAAGGTGCGCACTTGCAGGTATTGTTTCCGAGCGCCATATGTTGTCGCTCTCCTGAAGGAAGGTCTCGGTCTTCGACAAGACCAGGTCAGTAGCCTTCTCGCGTCTAGAAAAGGTTGAGCCCCAGTTTTTTTCTTTTTTTTTCTTTTTTGAAAAAGGAAGGCGAAACAAAATCTCGATTTGTGTGCTTGGTTTTCGACAAAACCAGGTTAGTAGCCTTCTCACCCATAGACAAGGTCGAGGCCCAGTTTTTCTTTTGTCCTTCGAAAAAGGAAAGAAAACAATTCTCCATTTGTGTGCATAACACTTGTGCACCGGCCCTGTCTAATCGTCTCCATGTTCTTCTGTCTCTCTCCTGACTTCTCTGCTGACTTCTCGGCTGACTTCTCTGCTGGCTTCTCTGCTGACTCCTCTGCTGACTTCTCTGCCGCTGAAGAGTGCTGCGTTGTTGTTTCGAGACTGGTTTGAACTAGCGCTTGCTTCTGAAGCAGTAGTACTTGAGAAGAGAGCAGAAGAAGAGAGGTTTGGCTGACAGAAGGGGTGTTGGGCATTGTAGTAGGAGAGATTGGTTGTGAGGGAGAAGGAAGGCGATTGGAGAGGAAGAGCCTGGAGTTGGAGAGGGAAAATATTCACCCGAAAGAAAAGAGAAGTAGTAGTTTGTATGAAGCTTGTAATCAGGTGGATACATGTGTGGTGAGAGAGAAGCAGTGTTGAGCGTTAGTTGGAGAGATTTGTTGTGACAGAGAAGGAAGAACGCGGAGTTGGAGAGGGAGAAGATTGACCAAAAAATAAAAAAGCAAAGGATAAGAACTTAAGAAGATTGAACTTGTAAAGTTTGTATTGTATTATTAATGAAATTTCAAATTAGTATCATTCTATGATCCATCATCTTCGTCTTTCCTCTCTCTTCATTCTCTCCTCTATTGAGTTTCATCAACTTTCATGTGTTGAGTTAATTTGTGTGAAGTGTTCAAAGGTCAGCATCCAGAAGTGTGGGTTTATTGCAGTTTTCTGGTTGCTGTAGAAATCATCGACAAGAGTTGCAGATTAACCGTTTTTTTTTTTTTTTTGTTCAAGGAGCAAACTTGTCCTAATTGCTTGACGAACAATCAAGGGACCGGCAGATTAACAGTTTACTTTTTTTTTTTTGTTGGGTGCAAAACAAAAACAAAAATGCAGATAACAGTTGGATCAGGTGACATGGGTTGGACTCTTGGCGCAGCTCTGTACGAAGCTGGTGCATTCAAGTCTCGTAAACGGGTGTGTAATCGGAACGTCATCCCAATGTGTTAAGCAACCACTACCTCAACCACTCTTTGGAAAATGGGAAAACTGGCAGTTCTCCCATTTTTTGCGAACTTGTCGGGGTCCGGAGAAGGCTTGGAAGTTGGGTCTCGTGGGCCCATCTGAAAAACAAGAGGAAAAGCAAAAAGTCATGTCGGGGAAAGCCGTGAACGAAGTTCTACTCATACCAAAACGCGCAAAGAAAGTATCTGACTTGCGGCTAGTTACAGGTTTTTGTTGTTTGTGTTTTTGTTTTCGTTCGTTTGTTTGTTTTGGTGCCCCGCCAGGCAGGCAGGGCGCTGTCCATGGGATGCTGACACTTTGTGGACGAGGGCATACCCACACTACTGCTTTGCAGAATGTATGAACCAGCTTTCCTGCCCTATGTTCAGTTTCTATTTTTCTTTTTCCTTTTTCTTCTTCTGTGGACCTGACACAGGTGCCGTAACACCCTCACTGAGGGCATACTCACACAACTACTTTGCGGTAGGTATCCACCTGGTATCACCTCCAAAGGGGTGTTTGCTTTTTATCTTTTCCTTTTTCGTGGCCGTGCTTGTTCTTTTTTGAAAGTCTGGCCATGCCTTTTTTTCCTTTTCTCTTTTCTTTTTTCAAAAGAGTACCAGAAAAAAAAAAAGAAAAAACGGAACCCAGGTTCAGCGAAACTAGGCGCACAGTGGAAATCAGGGTCGGCAAAAAAAACAGACTCGGAGGTAGTGGTGGTTTTAAAGGATGTAATTGGATATTCGATGCAATGACTGGGGGAATAACACCATGCCTTTTTTTTTAGTTTTTAGTATTTAGTGTTTAGCATTTACAAAGTTTTAGACGTTTTTTTTTGGATCACAGCTCGTTAGTTGCCTGTGTGTTATATTGCGGACTGTGCTGGATGCGAAGCTGCAATTATACAGCAAGTACTAAAAATCTTGATTTGTTATGATCCAGGCCAATTTTGAAGTACACATTCATCAGACAGTACAATGCCGTCCAATTGCGAAAGAAATGAATGAGCATGAGAGGAGACAGAGGGTAAGAAGAAAAAGAAGAAAGAAAGAAGAAGAAGATGATGTAGAGCAGCATAGACAAATGGTTATGCTCTTCTTCTTCGCCGAACACTATCCTCCTCCTTATCTCCTCCTCTCTTATTCACACAAGAAATAATAATACAATGTTGAATGGCTGAACCAGAATCAATGACCGAATCCCTCTTCTACTGCAGGTATCACTTGAGGTCCACTTTAGCCATGGCCGCCTCTCTCTCTCTTCCTCCTAGGCCGAGGCTATGGAGGACTACCAGGGCATGGCCTGGCTCTCCAAAGGACAACACAAAGCAGCTATGGCTGCTCTAGCACAGGCCGCCATGCCTGACTCTTCCTTGAAGCTTCTTGGTGTAGCTCTGCCCCAAGGGGGACCTTCCTGCTGCAGCGCCCACCAAGGTGATGAAGATGGCAACAGCGCCCACCAAGGTGATGAAGATGGCAACCACCATAGCCAGGCCTGGTCTTCTTCCTCCTCCGTGTCCTTGCTCCTTCCCCAGCAGCACTGCTCCAGCCAGTGCTCCAACCAGTGTGTCGCCAAACTTGCACACCGACAATGAGGCTGGGCTCCTCGCCCGACCTGGAGACATAGCGGCCTGCTTGCCTCTTGGGCGGTGACTTCCAGGCCGCTCGGCCTTCCAAGCAACCAGTACCTCCTCCCATTCGAAGGGAAACATCATTGCGGACTCTGATATTCCCCGTACACTGCGTACAGGCCCTAGACTAGACTGGTTGGACTGCTACCCGCCTAGACCTAGCCTATAACTACTGGGCCTCTAAAAATGCCAACTTTTGTCTTCTTTTGCTCGGCCTCGAGTACCCGACACATCTACCTCTTCAGGGTGTGGTACCGTCCTACCTGCTACTTGAGTGTTTCCCCGCTGCTTTAAGTGTTGCTGGCCTCTTTCCCCGCCACTCGATTGTTTTCCCCGCTGCAATCCTCAATGTCATGACCACAGGTAAGTACCATCCCTGTGGGCAAACGGACAAGTGCCCGTGTGCGTCACACACACACTCAAAGCCGACAAGCACTTAGACAAACATGCAGACCAGCAAGCGTGCACACACACAGACTCAGAGAATTTAGTAGCATGCGGGAAACTCGGCAAGGCATTCAGTCCATGAGCAAAACTCAGAAATCAGGTGTGTGTCTCAGTCCGTATTTGGTCAGATCATCACACTACCCCCCCCCTTAAGAGCGAGGTCTCTTTGAGCGAGTAACCCATTTTGAGTTTGCCTCCTGTCTTTGGCACAAACAAAACAGGTGCACCAGATTCGCCAGGCTTGATCCAACCCTTGTCGATCATCTCATCGGTTTGTTTTCGGAGTTCCTCCAACTCGCCGGATCCCATTCGGTATACGCAGCCCTTTGGAGGAACAAGACCTTCGACCAACTCGATTGTGTGTCGGACCGATGTCGTGGGAACTCCACGTGGTTTGGTGAGAACTTCCGGGAATCGGTCAAGTAGGTTTTGAATGCTTGTTGGGACCGGTGGGGCGAAGGATCAGCAAAAGGGTCACCTAGATCAGGTTGTAGCTTACGAATGGAAACGACTGAATCTGAAGTAGAGTCATTTGGACTAGTAGAAGGGCTAGAAGTAGATTCATTAGATGAAGTAGTATTAGTACTAGCCGCAAAAGCAGATGGCACATGAGTAGGGGGAACGACGACAACATACAATTGTTTATCCTCTTTGTGCTTGCGCCACTTTTTGCAGAACTGCATGGCATTGAGAAAAGTCACTGGGGACTCGTGCTTCTCATCCAAGAGGACGGGAAGCTCGTTCCCTTGAGCATCTTTGACCATGAAAAGCGGCTCCTTCCACTGTAGCCAGCCCAAGCCAAGGTCTGCGTCGAAGGGACACTTGTCAAGGACATAGAAGTGTAGTGCGTGAATGACTGTCTTGTCTTTGTTAAAGGTAGTGCGGACACCTTTGATTGCATGCGTAGATGACACAACCTCTTTGTTGCCTACTTGAGTCCGGCAAGGGTTCTGCAAAGTCACTTGCTACATCCCCAAGCCCACTTCGCGTATCTCGTGCGGTGACATGAAGTTAGTCGTAGCACCACAATCAATCAACGCACGAAGATAGCAGTGGTTTATGCGAAGTTTGAAGAAGATTAACTTCACTGTCCCTTGAGCACGCTGATGTTTCATCTCAGCCCAATTCCCTAAGTGACAGTGAAAGTCGATCGTCTCAGACTTCTCCCAAGTCTCAACATACGAAGCATGACAAACTTCAACCTTGGAATCAACAGACGATGGGGCTTCAAGAGAGGACTGTTGATCTGCATCAGGTTTAGTCTCCCTTGCCATAGAGGGTGCTGATGCCAAATCTACTCTCGATTCTGGTTTCCCTGCAGCCTATAACATTCTTGTACTTCATGGTTTGTTTTCAGGCAATGTAGGCAACCTCCTTTCTTCATCCTAGCCTTCCATTCAGCCTCACTGATCTGGAGGTCCACCGAAGGTTTAGTACTTGCATCCTCCGGTTTGGTTGGGATTTTGGCTCCCTTTGGAAGTGTGACAAAGCTCCTCACCAAATTCCAGTTTTGGTTTCCCTTAGCATGGACAGTCTTTTTGAAGGCACTAAATTTCTCATCTTCGTTGTTCAATCAGATCCTTGAGTGGAAGAGCGGGCTGTATCAGCGTCCTGTTATTGGTCATCGCCAAGAGTGGGGTCATCTGCTTCGGCCTCCCCTTCCCGTTCCAGCAAGTCAAGCGCAGCTAGATGGTTGCGGCCACGAAACCGCCCGCGAACAAATATATTTTTGCTGCTTGCTGAGGTAAGGAGGTCTCCTACCTCCAAACTGACTACATCCTTCATTAAGGAAAACCAGTCGGCGTACCTGAAGAAATCTATGCCTAGGCGATTGGTTAAGTGTGTGGGAACCGTACCTTTAACTACATCGAAACACGATTGCGCAGTCAGCTCCAATCCTGGCGTCGCGAAGAGCTTGTTGACATGCAATTGCAATTTGTGCATGGTGCCATGCCACTTGTTGCGCTTAAGTTCATCAAGTGGTATGCAACATGTGGGTCTTTATATTGCGCTACTAATATATCCTCGAGAGTGGTAGCCGCAGTGACTTTAAGCCGCTCTGATAGGTTGATCTTGGAATACCCAGCTTGCATAGCTTGGACCTCAAGGAAGCCCCTTACGACAGGCTCGACGCTCGTCCCTAGGATCAAGGACTGGTTCACTCTTTGAGTGCCCTGTACCGCAAAGTAGGCTCTCATGGAACTGATTCAGGACTCTACGTTCTCATTGCCATCATACCTAGACAGTATCATCACCGCCTTCCTGTCCATGTATGGACTGCTATAGCTGGGACCAGTCATTGCTGGATTCGGACCCAGGGCTGCGGCAGTTGCAGAACTTCTAGTGTTGTCGCTTGTAGCTGCAGCGGGAACTGCACGTGTCATAGGTCCTGACTGATTAACCACCAAACTCAACGAAGAAGATAGAGAAGAAGGAGAAGAATGGAGAGGTGCAAAGGTAGAATGGGGAAGAGAACTTGAGATTTGGACCTGATGCAAACTTGTCGTTTGTTTTAGCTGATCGTGATGGTCTTTGGCCATTTCAACCATCTGAGTACACATCTGACTCATTTCGTCGAGTAGTTGGGATTTCACACTCGGGAGTTCAGTGAGCAAATGGTAATTCACAAGCGCACGTACATACATAACCAGGTCCTTCTTAAGGTCTGCAGGTATAGTTGGAACTATTTTGAAAAATGGCCCTTGCGCAAGGATGACACGCACAAATCGAGAAAATAATCTCAAGTTTGTCAGCGGCTGTTTTTCGCTTTGCCTCTTCCGCCTTTTCGTCCTCGGCCAATTCTTTCTAATAGAGGGCCTCATACAGCAGTTTATCAGCCTCATCCGCTGCATCCATACGAGCCTTTAACATATCAGAAAGCTTAGCTGATGCCATG